TCGGGGAGCCCCTCCACAGGCTTGTTCACCAGCTGCTCCAGGGGGAAGACAGGCAGAGGCCCAGAACTGAGGCTGCTGTTAGCAGTGAACACGTCCACTTTAGGGCTTGTGATCTCCTAGAGAAGAAAAGGAAAGCACTGGTTACTTCAGCTGGTGTGAGGCAACTTTCCAGGCTAGCTTCTTCTCCAAAGTCAACATTGATTCTAGGGCACCACATTCATGAAGCCTGCCGAGATCTGCCCCATCTCACCATACACACGTAGAAACACACACACACACACACACTCCACATAAGAATATAACACACTGGGCCTACGGCCTGGTGGTTGAGGAAGCCAGGACCCATGTGGCTGAACATACAGTTTGAAATTAGCCATGGGAGTTTGAAAAACACTCTGGGCATATGTGAGTACATGCACAAAATCCTGCAGGAGGGAGAAGTGGAGGATAAGAAATTGCACTGTGGGGCCAGATGGTGTAATGGTACATCGCTGGACTCCCACATGGTGGACCGCGGTTTAAGTCCCAGACCCAGCAGCTTAAAACTCTCACCATCCACATGTGCATGCGTGCCCAAAATCCCAAGAGGATAATGGAGAAGAGATTGTGGTATGGCCGTCCTCCCTGGGGCGGGGGGCAATTTCTCACTTTTTGTCTCTGTCTCTCTGACTAGTGCACATGCCCTATAGCAAAAATCTCTCAAAAAAAGGGAGGCAGGACAGCAGATGGTGTGGTGACTGGACTCCCACATGGCTGACCACTGTTCGAGTCCCAGAACTGGAAGCTTGCACATGTGTGCTCTCTTGTTCTCGCTCTCTCACACATATGTGACTGATGGCAAATTAATAATAATAATAATTTTTTTTAAAGAAATGGCATTGTCACCACAGTCCATTAGGTGGTGTTCTCTGCCTCACTCTTGTCATTTGTTTCTGTCTCTGGCGAGTGACATGCCCTCTGGCGATTACAAAAATAAGGAAAATAAGAAAAAGATGAATATAATACACCAGATTAGACCCAAAAGCTAGGAGCTTAGTGGTCTGTATCCAACAAAAGTGAGTTGATGTTGTTTTGTTCAGTAATTTACTAACCTGTCCATGGCTTCCCCAGAGTTAGAGATCCACCTTGGACGTTTATGACCCTCTCCCTTATCTGTTGTAAAGCTGTCATCCATAAACTCATTTGGCCTTGACCTATCTATAATTTCCAGTCTACACTGTCAGTCCACCAAGGTTTATTGAGAGCCATGGTGTTCTCGGCCTGTGGGTGGAAGAGCCACATGTGTCATCTGTGAATGGCCTTAATGTGCTTGTGAAATTGCTTTCATTTTTGCAGAGTTAGCTGTGTCTTGTTGACCCAGCAAGCCACTGAACTCCTCCAAGGACAGACTCTGATTTTATGAAATAAAGCGCAAAAGGTTCCTTGAAAATGGGATTGAAGTATTAATTGTGTTGCAAAAAAATTTTTAAACTCCATGCATGTTTTCTTTTTTTCAAAATATGCATTTTCCATGATGTTTTTCTGTTTGTTACTTTGTTTTTGCTATAGGAGTGAAACAGTGAGAGGGAAAGTGAGAAATCCCACCCTCTGGGGGGATGGCCATGTCACAATCCCTTCTCTATTCCCAAATCTTGGGATTCGGGGCCCGTATATATATATGCGCCAGGCGTGATTTTCAAGCTGCCAGGTCTGGGATTTGAACCAGTCTGCCGTTTGGCAGTCCAGCACCTTAACCACCACACCACACCACCCTATGGACTTTTTAATGATCCTCATATTCCCGTGTCCTAGCCCTACAGGTTACATAACTAGTTGGAGGAGCAGCGAGTTATTCTACCTCAACAGTCCCTAGGATGATGGTGTGTACAGAAATCGTTACTTCTGATTTTTGTTTGTTTGTTTGAGAGAGAGAGAGATTTCTTTTGCAATAGGGAACATGCGCTTCCTGGAGAGACAGAGACAGAAAGTGAAAAATCACCCCCAGAAGGGATCCTTTGTCCTCCATTCTCCTGTCACGATTTTGGGCACACACACATATGTGCCTGGTGTGAGTTTTAGGCTGCCAGGTCAGGACTTGAACTGCAGTTGATTACGTGAGAGTTCAGCAATATAACCATTTGCTGGTCCCCAAAAGTCATTATGTCTTAAAGTGTAGTCCATGGCCTAACTACATATTACCTGGGCCCGTTATCAAATATAAATATTTCTGGGTACCAACCCCAAATCTACAAATTAAATTTTTTTTAAATTATTTTATTTTACTTATTTACTTTTCTTTTTGGGAGAGGTTTTTTGCTATAGGGCACATGCACTCACCAGAAAGACAGAGAGAGACAGAGAGACACAAAGCGAGAAATCA